CTACCCATGGAAACATTCGATCTTTCATCGACAACGTTCCGCCCAAATTTTCGCCAATAAAGGATCGGATAAAGTGTCGGTATTTATTACATAATTTGTCTTCTAATACCCGTGTTCACCTATCAGAAGGTAAGTACCTAACTGTTATTATGGGTAGGATAGCCTCAAATCATCGGATCAAGAGCATCAAGGAGCGTAAACGAGGAGGATTTGGGTGGGGGGAGGGGGGTAGTACACCAGTGCTGGGATCTACAATGAACCTAGGTAGGAAGATAGCTATCAGTAGTGACTAAACTTGCGGCCTCACACTCACGTATTTCGCGGTTTATAAGCGGCTAGCAGTAACAGCCTGGTTGATCAAACCCTGATCCACCACGAGGCCTGGTCTCAGACCGAGCCGCGGGGGCGCTGACCCCCGAAACCCTCTCCAGGTAAACGAAAGAGAGCCTTTCCATCTGGCCGAAAATGTTCTGGCTCTACTGTGGTGAGAAACAGTAGACAACCAGCATAATGAATTGTTGAGACGTTTGTGCAACATTTGGGTATTTTTATTCTAGAAACGTTTCGCCATGCAGTGGCTTCTTCAGTCCAATGCAGAGAAAGGTGGAAGATGGGGAGTTTGAGGTAATCAGTCCCTCAGCCTGGAGTCGATGTGTTCAGTCCATCAATAAAGACTGATGGACTGAACACACTGACTCCAGGCTGAGGGACTGATTACCTCAAACTCCTCCTAATCTTCCATCTTTCTCTACATTGGACTGAAGAAGCCACTGCATGGCGAAACGTTTCCAGAATAAACATAGCCAAATGTTGTACAAGTGTCTCGCGGATCAACTTGTCGATTTTATAAATCATTACTTCACATAATGAATTACGCTGTCACTCTTGGATGTATTCTGAAGAATGTGGCCAAACCTCAAATTTGGAGGCAAAAAATGTTATGAAAGCGAAAGTGGAAATTCGACAATTACTTAAAACAGCCTCGTCATCAATTAACGACCACAACTCTCATATGAATACTCTGACAAAATTCTGGGAAATAAAATGAGCTTTTGAATTGACGATTGTCTGTTAGGGTTTAACCCTGTCGACTACATGTGGGTTAAACGGAAACGCAAGAACGCAAACAAGAATGCAGGAAAACTGCAGTAGGTCTACTGGCCTATGTTAGGCAGGAATAACTCGCATCCACCCACACCCACTCATGTACCCGTCCAGCATACTCGTATATTTAAAGCTACTGACGATACTAAGGAGTTTGTTCCACTCATCTACAACTCTATTCCCAAATCAGTTCTTCCTTATCACTTGTACATTAACAACTAAGAATACTTTAACCCCTAATAGAGGGATTAAAGTCAACTCACACTGTATATACACCCAGGTACACAAAGCTTGGTATATATAGCCTATCGTTTGATGATATTACCCCCTCCCATCCTGCCTCCTCACATCCATCCCTCACCAGGTGAATGATTGATGATGCAGAGAGGTGATCACAACATTGATTATGATGGTAGGAGCTTTCACGGGTCAATGCTTGTACCCACACGGTGACACGGGGGGGCTTTTGATTATATAGATTGAAGTCGCCGACTGTCACAGCGACAGCAACAGCAGGAACATCCCCTTTGCTGTCCTAAGACCTACTGGTGGGTTATGAAACCGCAGTCAACAGCAATACATGAGCTAGAGGAAGAGCTGCCTGCAGATTTTCAAAGACAAACCTGCTGACGCTACGCTACCCTGGGAGTACTCTTAGTACTATATGATGCAACCCTACTAAACTGCCTTCCGGAATGCCGACACCAAGCTTCCTCACGAAATCATAATAACACTAATGTAAACAAATCGCGTAACGGGTGAGAGTTGAACCCATGGGTAGTGTGAGTCGTATAACTGAAGGCCAATGTGTAAGCCACTGGGCCAGCTGGCTATAATAAAATTCATCCAACTAGGTATTACGCACTGGCCCGAAGATTTACGACTCACTCGCCATGGGTTCAAATCTCATCCGTTCCGTGGTCCGTTTTTTCTTCCTTTATATGTGTGCGAGGCTTCCATCTGCGAAGGTCGTAAACCTCAGACTGGTCCGTCCTCTGACAACTCTCGGTCAGACCGATCTGTTTTGGTGGTGAATATTTATCAATTACTTGTCATTATCTGTGTGAATGTAGCAGGGAGGCGTGGTATAACCTCCACAGCTGTGTCAAATAGGGTACGATGACAATAATAATATTGGCTGGCAGGTGATATTGTAGGAGCTTAAGTTCTTCCTAGTCCACTTACCACCGACAGGGACACTCCAGAGTCATTGGTATCTTGGGGAAGTACCCAGGTTCCCTCTCTGGTTGCTTTTCTGTAGCAAGTTGCAAGCCTAGATGCATGTAGGACTTGCCCAGCATGGGTTAACAGACCTATAGCAGCGTTCCTTCAGTCAACGGTCTGACTATTAAGCAATTTATTTGACTTTACTCAGCGACTCGCAGAACGGAAGGCATTCAGGTTCGACCCAAGGAGAGTGCAAGTCCAGTTCCTTGGATTACAAGTCTCTCACCGACGTCAAGGAGCCTTCCTTGAGGGGGCGGTGAAGGGGTGTTGATTAGCTTTATCACTCCAGTTTTCCTAGGCAAAAGCTTGATTTGCAGCATGAACTATGTTTCTCAGTTGGTCTGGGACCAGCTGCTCTTTCCTTCCCGTTATTTCTACAACGGAAATCTGCCAGTTGTGTCGGCCATAGTGCTATAATGGTTTAACTTAAGTGGTGGCTGCACTGGGCCAGTGTGTCTGCCATCTTGTGGTTGATCATGATGTCAGCTGCACGCTACCACTTGTTGCTGTTGTTGTGTACTGCAATATCTGGTTGAAGAGTTCTAATGAGCATCTCACACAAGAAAATATTATTGAAAAAATGCTGCAGTAGGCCTACTGGTCCATGCTAACCAGGTCCAACTCACACCCACTCATGTACTCGTTCAACCCATATTTAAAGCCACCCAAAGTCCTTGCCTCAATGACGCCACTCGGGAGTTTGTTCCTCTCATCTACAACTCCATTGCCAAACCAGTACTTCCCAATATTCTTTCTAAAGTAAAATTTTTCCATCTTAAAACCTAGTGAGAATATGTTAGCAAGCATGAGGCAGTATCTATCCTAGACAGCAGGTACTGGGTATCTTAGCTAGTAGGAGGCGAGTATCTTGGCTAGCAGGAGGCAGGTATCTAAGCTAGTAGGAGGCGAGTATCTTAGCTAGCAGGAGGCGAGTATCTTAGCTAGCAGGAGGTATCTTGGCTAGCAGGAGGCGAGTATCTTAGCTAAAAAGAGGTACCTTGACTAGCAGGAGGCGAGTATTTTAGCTAGCAGGAGGTATCTTAGCTAATGGGATGCGAATATCTTAGCAGGAGGTACCTTAGCTAGCAGGAGGCGAGTATCTTAGCTAGAAAGAGGTACCTTGACTAGCAGGAGGCGAGTATCTTAGCTAGCATGAGGTATCTTGGCTAGCAGGATGCGAATATCTTAGCAGGAGTTACCTTAGCTAGCAGGAGGCAAGTTTCTTAGCTAGGAGGCTATGGGGATATTTCCAATGTTTGAACTACCGTGGGTGCCTACACACTCCCAGCTACCTTGGGAGCCTATCAGCTACCCTGGCTATTATCAGGTACACTGGGAGCCTACTATCAGCTACATTGGGAGCCTACTATCAGCTACCCTGAGAGCCAACTCCCAATAGCTCTCAGCTACCCTGCGAAGCTACTCCCAGTAACCCTGAGCCTACTCCCAGTAACCCCGAGCCTACTCCCAGCTACCCTAGGAGCCTACTATCAGCTACCCTGGGATCCTACTAACTCAGCTACTCTGGGAACCTACTAACTTTCAGCTACCCTGTGAGCCTACTCCCACCCACTCTGGGAGCCTACTCTCTGCTACTTTGGGATTGTTACCCAGGGAGCGTAGTTAGCTACCCTAGGAGCCTACTCTCAGGTACCCTGAGAGCCTACTTTCAGCTACCCCGGGAGCCTACTTTCAGCTACCTCGGGAGCCTACTTTCAGTTACCATGGGAGCCTACTCTCAGCTGCTACCCTGGAAGCCTACTGTCAGCTACCCTGAGAGCCTACTTTCAGCTATCCTGGGAGCCTACTCAGCTACCGTGGGAGCCTACTTTCAGCTACCTTGGGAGCTTACTTTTAGCTACCCCGGGAGCCTACTCTCAGCTATCCCGGGAGTCTACTCTCAGCTGCCCCGCGAGCCTACTCACAGCTACCCTTGGAGCCTATTATCTCTACTAGGCTATCCTAGGAAACTCCATAACTGGCTAGGCTCGCTCTGTAGAAAGAAGATTCTTTTGATCTGAGGAAGCAATAACCCAGTATGGTGATCCAGCATTACTGTTGATGAAAACACAAGCTAGAGAATGATTAACCTTCCTGAAGATTTCCAGCTTTTGTACCGTAAGTCCAGTGGGCCAAACACGACCATTAACCACCACAAATAAATCCAGTGTAAGAACGAACGCGAAATGACTTCGAACACAGTACACAACACAAGACGGTTCGGATGAAGGGTCTATGGAGCTTCCTGGAGGTCTGGTTTGTACAAGATGTATGGAACACAGATTTTTTTTGGATACAACATGCAGCACAGAGATGACACTTCACTGTAACACTGTGTTAGTGGGTCTTACATGCAGCGTGCGAGATTAGTAATGGTCATTTTGTTAAGACTGGCCGGGGGTGAGGTCAAGACCTCAACTTATACACGAGAGACTTCGCTATGAATAATCAAATAGATAAAGTGATTTTTTTACATATTTTACCGTTTCATGCTTCATAATTCATGAGATTCACCTTGATTACAATGTAAATTGTAAGGGCTAGTGAATATCTGGTAAGATATTTGATGAAAAGACAAATAAATGGGATGTCTCCGTGCATTTAGATGAGGTTAATCCCACTTTCCGTAGGCTGGCACAGTCAAAATTTCAACACAGGGCATAACGTACTCGGAACAAGCTGCCCTGGGGTTCGGGAATGGCTGCCACAAGGGCCAGGCACACCAGTAGTCCTGCTAGGATCCTCATGACGAAGGCACTGAAGGGGGAGGGGAACCTGCAGGGGTAGAGCAACAGGTGGTGACTGCGCGAGTGCTGGTAGAGGACTAGTGAGTGTGTGTGTGTGGGTCCCCTGCTAGCCAACCTCACTCATTACTACCCTCCACCACACACCTTAACCCCCATCCCCTCTACCCTCGACTCTATTCCACTCTCTCCTACCCACTCCACCATCCCCTTCCATCATACCTCCCCACCACTCGCTCCTAACCACTCTCTCCTCGAATTATTGATGGTATTTAGTGCCGACACGTTGAAGTTTGACTCAACTGTGCAACACTTGGATGTCTATTGCTGAAATGTATAGTGATGCTCATACCCATGTGTCTTATTCTGTCCTCACATCAACCTCTCACCCTCACCTTTCATTACCTCACACTCCTAACCACTCTCCTACCCCTCATTCTCACCCCTTACACCACCCATCATCCCTTAAAACTCTCTCCTATCCTTACCCCCACCCCCTCACTCCTACCCTCACCCCAAGCAACTTTCTCCTACCCTCACCCCCACCTCATACTTACTCTCACCCCACCTCACACCATCTCATTTCTTCTCTCCCATCTTACCCCTACCGTGAGCTCCTCCACACACTGCTACCCCTCATTCCACTCTTACTCTCACCCCCACCTCACTACTACTACCATCACCCCAGAAGTACTGACACCTCACCCTCATTAAGCACAATTCCTGAGCATTCACTGTCAGGGAGCCACTGACAGCTAACACAGAGCCACTGACAGCTAACAGACGTAGCCACTGACAGCTAACAGACGGAGCCACTGACAGATAACACTGACACTTGCTATAAGTGTCTAACATCCAGCTGCATCCAGACAGCAACAAGGTTAAGGTGTCCGAGTGGTTACTGGCCAAGGCGTTCAATTGAGCGTACCACTGATCACTTGCAGTTGTCTGGGCTAACTCACAGTAAGACAACCACTTACATGACGTAATTTTAAGTGGAATTTTATATGTTAACTTTCATGTAAGACTATAAATGGTGTCAGACTCTATAACGACAACAGCAACAACAATAATAATAATAATACTAATAATAATAACAATAACAATAACAATAATAAGGTGAACTATAGGATATCACACACTATTAAACTCTAAGTTACTGTTTCAAGCTGAGAAAATGTCATTGAATCCTTGTGTAGCGGTTTATAGAACTTTTAAAGGTTCACGCAATGTTGTGTCATGTAGGTTAGTGTTATTCTAGTTAATGAAGGTCCACACAATGTTATTATTATCTAGGTTACTGTTATTTTCAGCAGGTAGTGAGTGAGGGGAAAGTTTATGAAGGATACACAAGAGGAATTTCTCTGACGTTGTCAGACAACCAACACTGTTTCTCTCTCTCTCTCTCTCTCTCTCTCTCTCTCTCTCTCTCTCTCATCTCTCTCTCTCTCTCTCTCCCTCTCCCTCTCCCTCTCTCTCTCTCTCTGTATATATATAATATATATATATATATATATATATATATATATATATATAATATTATATATATATATATATATATATATATATATATATATATATATACACATATATACGTCCATGGGGAAGTGGAAAAGAATCTTTCCTCCGTAAGCCATGCGTGTCGTATGAGGCGACTAAAATGCCGGGAGCAATGGGCTAGTAACCCCTTCTCCTGTAGACATTTACTAAAAAAGAGAAGAAGAAAAACTTTATAAAACTGGGTTGCTTAAATGTGCGTGGATGTAGTGCGGATGACAAGAAACAGATGATTGCTGATGTTATGAATGAAAAGAAGTTGGATGTCCTGGCCCTAAGCGAAACAAAGGTGAAGGGGGTAGGGGAGTTTTCAGTGGGGGGAAATAAATGGGATTAAATCTGGAGTATCTGAGAGAGTTAGAGCAAAGGAAGGGGGAGCAGTAATGTTGAATGATCAGTTATGGAAGGAGAAAAGAAATATGAATGTGTAAAAATTTAAGAATTATGTGGATTAAAGTAAAGGTTGGATGCGAGAAGTGGGTCATAATAAGCGTGTATGCACCTGGAGAAGAGAGGAATGCAGAGGAGAGAGAGAGATTTGGGAGATGTTAAGTGAATGTATAGGAGCCTTTGAACCAAGTGAGAGAGTAATTGTGGTAGGGGATCTGAATGCTAAAGTAGGAGAAACTTTTAGAGAGGGTGTGGTAGGTAAGTTTGGGGTGCCAGGTGTAAATGATAATGGGAGCCCTTTGATTGAACTTTGTATAGAAATGGGTTTAGTTATAGGTAATACATATTTTAAGAAAAAGAGGATAAATAAGTATACAAGATATGATGTAGGGCGAAATGACAGTAGTTTGTTGGATTATGTATTGGTAGATAAAAGACTGTTGAGTAGACTTCAGGATGTACATGTTTATAGAGGGGCCACAGATATATCAGATCACTTTCTAGTTGTAGCTACACTGAGAGTAAAAGGTAGATGGGATACAAGGAGAATAGAAGTATCAGGGAAGAGAGAGGTGAAGATTTATAAACTAAAAGAGGAGGCAGTTAGGGTAAGATATAAACAGCTATTGGAGGATAGATGGGCTAATGAGAGCATAGGCAATGGGTCGAAGAGGTATGGGGTAGGTTAAAAAATGTAGTGTTAGAGTGTTCAGCAGAAGTTTGTGGTTACAGGAAAGTGGGTGCGGGAGGGAAGAGGAGCGATTGGTGGAATGATGATGTAAAGAGAGTAGTAAGGGAGAAAAGGTTGGCATATGAGAGGTTTTTACAAAGTAGAAGTGATGCAAGGAGGGAAGAGTATATGGAGAAAAGAGAGAGGTTAAGAGAGTGGTGAAGCAATGTAAGAAGAGAGCAAATGAGAGAGTCGGTGAGATGTTATCAACAAATTTTGTTGAAAATAAGAAAAAGTTTTGGAGTGAGATTAACAAGTTAAGAAAGCCTAGAGAACAAATGGATTTGTCAGTTAAAATAGGAGAGGAGAGTTATTAAATGGAGAGTTAGAGGTATTGGGAAGATGGAAGGAATATTTTGAGGAATTGTTAAATGTTGATGAAGATAGGGAAGCTGTGATTTCGTGTATAGGACAAGGAGGAATAACATCTTGTAGGAGTGAGGAAGAGCCAGTAGTGAGTGTGGGGGAAGTTCGTGAGGCAGTAGGTAAAATGAAAGGGGGTAAGGCAGCCGGGATTGATGGGATAAAGATAGAAATGTTAAAAGCAGGTGGGGATATAGTTTTGGAGTGGTTGGTGCAATTATTTAATAAATGTATGGAAGAGGGTGAGGTACCTAGGGATTGGCAGAGAGCATGCATAGTTCCTTTGTATAAAGGCAAAGGGGATAAAAGAGAGTGCAAAAATTATAGGGGGATAAGTCTGCTGAGTATACCTGGTAAAGTGTATGGTAGAGTTATTATTGAAAGAATTAAAAGTAAGACGGAGAATAGGATAGCAGATGAACAAGGAGGCTTTAGGAAAGGTAGGGGGTGTGTGGACCAGGTGTTTACAGTGAAACAGTATTTAGATAAGGCTAAAGAGGTCTTTGTGGCATTTATGGATTTGGAAAAGGCGTATGACAGGGTGGATAGGGGGGCAATGTGGCAGATGTTGCAGGTGTATGGTGTGGGAGGTAGGTTACTGAAAGCAGTGAAGAGTTTTTACGAGGATAGTGAGGCTCAAGTTAGAGTATGTAGGAAAGAGGGAAATTTTTTCCCAGTAAAAGTAGGCCTTAGACAAGGATGTGTGATGTCACCGTGGTTGTTTAATATATTTATAGATGGGGTTGTAAGAGAAGTAAATGCGAGGGTCTTGGCAAGAGGTGTGGAGTTAAAAGATAAAGAATCACACACACAAGTGGGAGTTGTCACAGCTGCTCTTTGCTGATGACACTGTGCTCTTGGGAGATTCTGAAGAGAAGTTGCAGAGATTGGTGGATGAATTTGGTAGGGTGTGCAAAAGAAGAAAATTAAAGGTGAATACAGGAAAGAGTAAGGTTATGAGGATAACAAAAAGATTAGGTGATGAAAGATTGAATATCAGATTGGAGGGAGAGAGTATGGAGGAGGTGAATGTATTCAGATATTTGGGAGTGGACGTGTCAGCGGATGGGTCTATGAAAGATGAGGTGAATCATAGAATTGATGAGGGGAAAAGAGTGAGTGGTGCACTTAGGAGTCTGTGGAGACAAAGAACTTTGTCCTTGGAGGCAAAGAGGGGAATGTATGAGAGTATAGTTTTACCAACGCTCTTATATGGGTGTGAAGCATGGGTGATGAATGTTGCAGCGAGGAGAAGGCTGGAGGCAGTGGAGATGTCATGTCTGAGGGCAATGTGTGGTGTGAATATAATGCAGAGAATTCGTAGTTTGGAAGTTAGGAGGAGGTGCGCGATTACCAAAACTGTTGTCCAGAGGGCTGAGGAAGGGTTGTTGAGGTGGTTCGGACATGTAGAGAGAATGGAGCGAAACAGAATGACTTCAAGAGTGTATCAGTCTGTAGTGGAAGGAAGGCGGGGTAGGGGTCGGCCTAGGAAAGGTTGGAGAGAGGGGGTAAAGGAGGTTTTGTGTGCAAGGGGCTTGGACTTCCAGCAGGCATGCGTGAGCGTGTTTGATAGGAGTGAATGGAGACAAATGGTTTTTAATACTTGACGTGCTGTTGGAGTGTGAGCAAAGTAACATTTATGAAGGGGTTCAGGGAAACCGGCAGGCCGGACTTGAGTCCTGGAGATGGGAAGTACAGTGCCTGCACTCTGAAGGAGGGGTGTTAATGTTGCAGTTTAAAAACTGTAGTGTAAAGCACCCTTCTGGCAAGACAGTGATGGAGTGAATGATGGTGAAAGTTTTCTTTTTCGGGCCACCCTGCCTTGGTGGGAATCGGCCAGTGTGATAATAAAAAAAAATAATATATATATATATATATATATATATATATATATATATATATATATATATATATATATATATATATATATAGATAGATAGATAGATAGATAGTTATCTAACTACTGTCTATCTATATGTCTCTGTCCATATGTCTAACTACCTATTTATCTATCTACTTTTATATCTGTCACTATATCTGTCTGTTTATATGTATGTACATAT